CACTGCACATTGGATTTGTCAGCCTTTTTTGTATTTTGTATTTGCTTATTTAAATGTATTATCTTTCTTTTTAGTAGTAGACAAGAACACACGTGAACCATTTGCTTTTGATAGATGACTTCAAAGTAATTTTATTAGTAGTCTGCAATGTAAATGAAGATCCTTTGCCAACAGAAATGTATTGTGGCATCACCAGAAGAAACAGAGACATGTTAGTTGTCAGCCAACAAGTTCTTTGTCTCAGAGTTATCACAATATAAAAAAATGGTACGTCAGTGCATCACAGTATCTGTGTTCATATTGGTAATAAACTGTTTATTGTCCACATAGCCCTGCCTTTCTTTGTTTAATTTGTCCCTTGAGCTCCTGCACTTCTGTCACCAGGGTTGGTGACATGAGGAAGCTGACTGAGCCCCACCATGGGGCAGCAGCTGTGCAGAACAGGAGGAAAGAGCCTGAGTGGATGGCCAATAGCCCTGCCTTCTTTCACGGGGAGACTGCCCAGCCCTCCTTGCATCACCGGCTGAACACCACCTCCAGTCAGGCTCAGCAACTTTTTGTCAAAATCAGTAAAATCAGTGACTTGTGGCTCTTCTCAGGCCACCACTGACCATCCCACTGCATCTTCCACCATCACTGAAAAAACAAACAGGTCCCATCACCTGCACTTGTAGGGTCTTCCACTAAATAAAAGGCAGGCATTTATGCAGAACATTATGCAGTCTACTCAAAGTGTTAGGAGGATGCAAGCTGAAATCACTGGCACAGCACTGCTGGACTAGAGGCGTAAGGGTGTTAATATCTCATGTATCATTTGTTAATGTTGTGTGGGTCTTGAGCTTTATTTCATGGAAACTGAAGTCAAAGATATGAGTACAGGACACTGAACACTTACCAGAACACACCCAGCCATATCTTTCAAAGGTCATAGAACTTTTTTTCTTGAGCCATTCTTTCTACTGGTGCAGTCTTGGGAATTTCTGCTTGACTTAGTTTGGTGCAAGATTTACATGGCAGTAGTCTTGGTATCATCTTCTTGATAACTTCACACAAAAAGCAAAAGATTGGAGTTCAGCTACTGAAATCTGCCAAGTATTTTCCAAGCCCCCTGCTTTGCTTCAGCTCCTCCTGAAGATTTTGTTTTAAAAGCCAGGCCCCAGGAATGAGTTTTGGGAGCAGAGCTGGTGCAGCAGCCCAGGAGAGTTGGGGATTCTCCCCCTGCTCATGTGCCCCGAACCTCACAGAGCACGGGAGCAGGGACTGCCTGCCAGCCACAGGAGACCCTGGGGAGGAGGTAGGGTGGGATGTGCTTTGTGCATAGCTGTAAAATGTTACCTGCTTTGGCTTGGAGAGAGTGGGCTTCTCCTTCAGCATTCTTCAAAGCAACCCAACCTGTCTTTTAGAAAATAATCTTTTTTTCAGTGTAGTTATACCACAGATTAAATAATGGAGAAATGAGAGAAATCTAAATTTAATGCAATGGTGAACTCCAGACTGAGCCTGATGTCTGTTACCTGTTTAATGCCAGCAGAAGGTGAGAGACAGGTTAAACAGAGGGGTAAGATTTCCATATGGGAACTAAAGCAGGCAGACGTTGACATGCAACACAATATGAAAACCCCGTGATCAGGAGAAGGAACCTTTCCATTGTGAAAACCACAGACAAACATCAGTAACAGCAAATATTATAATGCTCTGTTGCATAAATCACATATAGTAGCTCACACATTTCTTAATTATAAATCTATTTAATGGCATACCTGACAATGGCAAGTACTTTTCAAAACTACTGCTTCTCAGGTGATTACAACCATTCAGTGAAACTCTCCCATAATCTTAATTAAGCTTCAGGAAGCTGGCATCTGATACAGTTAACGTTTTCCCTTGCAATGTAGCGTTATGCCTAAGGTCAGCAATAACTGCATTGCAGTTGGGACTGAGTGTACAGCCTGGATACAGTGTGCCCCTCTGTTAATATCAGTCACCTGCCGTAAATAAGTTTTTCTTACTTTCTTCTTTTACCTTTGCAGGTGTCATATAATTAAGACACGATAAACTGACGTTTGCACAGGGCCACTTAATAGCTGTGTCAGGGGAAGCTTGTTGACAGGGGCCAGGCAGCTGTCCTGGCATCACCAGCCCTTTGCTCGTTCCTGGCTCATGGCTCCAGTGAGGTGCAGGGCAGCTTGTGTGCAGTAGTGGCACTGCCAGAGGATTTCCCGCTCCCAGACACTAACTCAGTTTGCCTGTTGTCTATGTAAAGAAGGGTGTTCCCTTGTGCTGGTTTTGTTGAGCTGCTGCAACAGGGCAGCCACAGGCATTTACGTAGCAGAAGTCAAAGGGGGCATAAACCCCCACTCCAACCCATCATACACCTATTTGATCCTCCTATCTCGCTTGTCAGAGAACTCAAGTGGCTACACAAAGAAGGAGATCTGGATTAATTTTTAAGCAAAGAGAATAAAACTATAGTCCTAATGTACTTTTAACCCAGACTCATATGCTCTGTGATCACAGAAAAACCCACAAAACAACTTCTACCAACATTACTGGTAGTGGCAAGAACAAGTGCCCATGGAGAGGACAGGATCACAGCCTTCTCCAGCAGTTCCACACACATTGAAACTCAGCTTGCACCACACATCTGCAGGCACCAGGCTTCCAGCCACTTCAAAGACCCGCTGGGATGGAGAGTGCAGAGCAGGAGGGCTGTAGGGCTGCCTGGGATTGTGATGGAAATACTGATGGGAGGCAGGATAAGAAGCAGTTGCCATTTTTGGTTACCCTCCATTAACACTATAGCCTCTGTGTCAGGCTAGGCTAGTAATCTCCAGACCACACTGGTGCGTGCATCATCAAACAGCTGAGTAAGGGAACTTAGAAAGGTCACTCTCCATAGAGGAGGACAATAGTCAGACTGAGGAAGATAGCATAATCTTTATTATGGTTTTTATATTAACTTGCTGAGTTGGCCAAAAGAGTTGAGGAGCAGATTGCTAAGGACGTGGAAAGTTGAATACGTGATCATGGAGTGCTGGCAGCACTGAAATAAATTAATAAAATAAATTAAGATCCCTGACATGAGCATTGATACAAAGTAGTTAAAGGAGGTTTCTACATCAAAGCTTCTTCCTCTGGGAGAAAAGAGATTTTAGTAATTAAGATATAACATCTTAAGTCTGTTCTTCACTGAAGAACCAGTGAAGTCTGAAGAGTCAGAAGCCTCGTTCTTTCCCTTCTTTTCCAGAAGCACAATCCACACATCCAAACCCGTATCTGTGAATAAACTGGTATTCAGCCCCTGCATCACAGAGGATGTTGCACTGCTGAGCAAACCTGGGTTACTTACCCAGTTGTCAAAATTAGATGGATGAGAAAAAGAAGAAGTGGAAATGGAGGAGGAGGAACACAAATAGCTCAGCTGCGTGGTATGCCGTGCTAGCACACAGACTCACCAGATCCAGTGCTGTAGGAGGAACAAAACTGTGTTTTATTGAGGCTTCCCAGGTCTGATAACATACTTTGATGGACCAACAATACACACTAATCTTTTTCTTTCTTACAGACTTGGTTTTCCAGAAGAAAACAAACAAGTCAAATTGTTAGAGGGTTAGAATATGAGAAGACTTTTATGGACTTCCCTTTTAACTACTCAGTAAGGACATAAATAAGTTGTCAGCTTTCCAAGGTGGAGGGAAGTTATAAGACTGCATCTGAAGTCCCAATTTCCAAGATACTTTTCTGCTTGAAGAAAGGTACGGTGATTTTGATGATACAGAATTACTGAGGACAGCCGGAAGTCTATAGTTGGAGAGGACAGGCAGGAAGATTGAAATAGGGGTAGAAGGAGGTTTAAATGGGTAGAAATAACAGGTGAATGTTAATAGACTAGAGTAAGGCACGTAGCTGGAGCATCACATGCTTTCCAAATGTTAAGTTGGTGCCCCTTGAATGACAGAGAAAAAAAGATATAATTATTCTGAAAGCAGTTAGGAACAAATATCACCATAATGTCTCCATGGCTTCACTGACACTTGTTCCTAACTCCTGTGCACAGAAAGGGATGTAATATAGAGAAGACTAGGTAAGGTGATCAGGAATATTAACAACTTTGGCAAGCAGCAATTAAAACTGAACCTTTCCATTTCCAGGAGGACTTACAGTGGGGAAAAGGATGAGAAGCATGAAGTTATGAATACTGTGAAGGGTGAGGGAGGAAGGACCACTCAGTTCTTCCAGGGGCATACCCATGCTGCTGGTCAGGCAGCAAGCAGAAAACTAAAGGAAAGCTTTTCCATGCCACAGTTCCATTCTGCCAGGTAGCTGCACAGTATTAGATCCTCAGAGTAGAAATGCATTTAGAAAAGGTTTATACAAAGGCCTGGAATAAACGTCAAGCAGTAGCTACTAAAATGATGACATACATGTATAAAAATAAACACATATTCCACCACATATACAAAATCTCCGCTACTAGCAATTATTGGAGGATGTTAGATTAGACAAGACATTGAGCTAAAGGCACTCTTGTGTTCTCCAGAAAGCATCATTTACTACTGCATGCCAATCCTCCCTGTTTCCGCAGTCCTGTGCACACAGAGTATCTACATCTAATCTGGCACAAAGAGAAACCATAAGCTACAAACACGCATACTCACATATATGTGCACCAAACATTCTCTATTGCAGACAGAGCCAAACCTCAGACTTGGGCACACGTGGCCTGGGAGGTTAAATCTAAGACTAGACCAAAGGTTCACATAATCATAACTCAGTCTGGTCTTGTTTCCCAGGGTTACATACACAAATATCCTTTACTTAAAAGTCTCTATATTCTAGAATAGTGCATCTGATCAGTTCATTCTCAACTCATCCTCTTGGTCTAAGGAACACACACCAATGCTCATCCAGCACACACAAACATCCTTCTACTTCTGCAGAAAACTCAAGTCATTCAAATGAACACAGGAAAGACTGATGCAGCAGGCAGATCTAGTCTGTTAGCTTTCTTCTGCCAGTTTGCATAGTCTCTTAACCCTTGAATAAGGACCAATAGTGTCATCGAAAACAAAGTCCCACAGAACTCGAATCCAGGACTGGTGATGTGGGAGGTTATCATAATATTCTGCTGCGATCTTCTTCACCTGGAAGAAGAAGAGAGAGAGCAAGCTGTTAGCTGCACAGTGTCAGGTGTGTTTCAGGCTTCACATTCAGATCTGATAGCACAGCCGGAACCTGAAGTTACTTGTTATTGCTTGTGAACTTCTGAAGTTCAGCCAAATGAGATGTACTTAAATACATTTAGGTACTTCTTAGCAGATTTCTGATGTAAGTTTTACCTCAAAATGTGGAGGGATCTCCACAATGAAATGACTCATCTACTTTACAAATTGTCAAGACTTCAACACACAGTATTTAATATTCAACACTCATGATACTTGTCTGCTCAGGGTTCTGAGTAGGATAGAAATATTAATTGAGAAAATGCGAGACACAGCCTTGCCTACATTTTGTTTTCTGTGCTCCATTCTGCTACCATGATGCAAATCTGAGAGATGTGTTCCTCCAGCAGGCAGAGGAAATTGCAGGGGCAGACCACTCTACTCAGTCCTGTGTTAAAAATGCTGCAGGATTCATTATTAGATCGTGAATCTAATAAAATTTCGTCCCTGTTACAAATCCCCAAGTCTTCAGACTGTTGCCATTGGAGAAGCACCGCACATTGCTGGGAATGGTGCTTGTAGTAAGAGCAAGGCCAGAAAAGGGCAAAAAAGAGATTTCAAACCTGGCAGGTTCAGGGACTATGAGGACTCTCAAGTTATCACTAGTTCCTGCTCCAGCTAGACTCTCTGTTTTATCAAAACACTTACAAAGTAGTAAAGTCTATTAACTGTTGTACACCTATACATAAACTGATCGGGCATGCTTTTATTACAGCCCCACCTCGTAGACAAACAAAGTTCTTTTCTAGAGTAGTTTGCCTTGCTGGACAGCATGACTTCTCTCTTTAAAAACCCTGCAGAATTTTGAATCCAGCTATGCTGGGCACAGTACAGAACTTCCAGTGAAGAGCAAAAGGGTTACACAGAAATTGTCATCTGAGAGAAGGGTCTCATCAGCACCCGAGATGTAACATTGAAATCTTAATACAGCATTTGGACTGTTTGGGAAAAGGTAAGAATCACAGCAAAAGTTAAATTATAAGCCAGTACAGCTCACTGCTACTTAACTTCTTAATTCAGCTTCCTAGCAGACACTTCCCTGTGAGGTACGGTGGGTAACATACAAGTTTCCTTAAGGTCTTTCACCTCTGTACCTCAGCCTCTATGCACTCTTTGTGCTCATGGCATGGTGGTGCTGTGTTGGAGGTAGAAGATTCAGTTCAGGTCAGATTGTATTCTGCCTTTCACTGAATACTTCTGGTTTCCTAGTAATTCCCCATATCCTGCTTTAAAATGTTGGGCTGTACTTCAAATGTGGTTCATTTTCAGTGGGATTCAGACTATACCAGCATTTCCACTGTGAGGTATTTGTTAATGACTGGAAGAAGGGTGATTTCCAGGAACCAGCTAAGATCTCTGAAGATGCAGACTTAGTTCTCTGCACTCCTTTTGTAACCACGGACAGAAATAACTTAATCTGGGTTCTGTATCCTCCCTTTTCCCAGCTGGGTAATTAAAATAGCCAGATGATGAGAGGGAAGACTGTCTAAATAGACAGTAAGCTCTCTAGACTACTTTGAATAAAAGCTGCTAATAAGGCCTTATAAAAACACAAAGGATGTCTCAGATACTCAGCTCTGAAAGCTTCACTCCAGCTTTGAATGTGGTAATCCCCCAGCACACTGCTACTTACAGACCTTCCCTCCTACCTTCATTTTAGAAGTTCTGCCTGAATTTTGACTTGCATGAGTAGTTCAGCCCTCATCTATACTAGCCAAGTTCATATGGCAAGTCTACCATTTCCCTCTCCTGTCGAACACCCATATAAATCTTGCCCACAGAAGCAATGTTCTGAACCAGCCACACTCTTTTCAGCTAGTTACATTATTCTGCAGAGCTCTTGATCATGTTAGAGTCTGACCACTATGAGGGCTTCTGAAAGTATTTCTGTATTGCCCCTTGCACATGGAAGTGGAGGGCTGGAGATTCACAGAAACTAATTCAGCTCCTAGGAACAATGTCTCAGGCAGTAACTGTGCCCTCTGGCACCAAAGGTTAACTAAAAACAGTCCCAGTGATGAAGTGGAAAAAAATGGCTGAGAGAAGAGGCAAATAAACAGCTTATGTTCAACCCAGTAGTTTCCACACTTTCAGCAGATGTGAGCAGCAGTATAGTATGGACACAGTGCTGAAGACCTCAGGTGAACACAACATGCAGGTCTGGAAATCTGCACTGAAATATATTCCATACACGTATTTTTGCAACTGTACTACAGATTTAAAACAGACGCCTAGAATGCAAGTATTATTTCATAGTTAAGATGGTTAATCAAAATAACCAGGAGTGAATTTTGAAGAAAATCATACACATGGTATTCTAGAAGCAGAGAGCGCAGTGATGGCTGACAAGCTGCTTGCCAGCCTCAGGTGCTGGAGCCTTGCTCACCAAGCATATCCATTAGTACCTCTTTGCAGAGCATGGCTGCAGCTCATTCTGAATGAAATGGTCTGAATGAGTATGGAAACCACATGAGATGGCCAAGGGCTTACACTAGAGCATGCTACCCTAGGTCAGCTGCAGGACAGTGCCTCACACCTACACAAAGCAGCTCTTTGCTCTCTCTGGCTTTGTGCAGGAAGGTGGGCAGCATTTGCACCACTGGCAAAGTCCCTGTGCTCTGGGCAGGGCAGCTGCGTGAGGTGCTGCCCTCACATCACAAGAACAGAGTGGGGACGGTAGACTGTAACAAAATATTCATGACAAGGGAATGGGGAAAAGGGAAAATTTAGCGAGCACGCTTAGAGGGAGGAATTCGGAAAGGTTTTCTTATGGAAAAGACAAGGAAGTTTTAGATGCATGTTCTCATTTTGCTATCACATGGCAGGAAGGAATTCTTTTATGATGGGTCTATGCAAAAGTCCTAACAAAAACAGCTCATGTACTGTAATTTCTTTATCTCCATATGTAAAACAAAACTATCTCCCCCTTACCTACCAGAAATCTTGGGGGCAGGAGGGCAGAAAGTAATTGTGTTGTAATGCAGGTTCCCTTTTAAATACAAGATCTACTAAGCATGCTTGAGGCTGAAAGAGTCATCCTCCATGTTGCATTCTTGTTGCAGTATAAAATCTGTGGATGGCAGTTTCCACATAGCAAGTTTTACAGCCAGTTCACACATTGTCTCGAAGAGAATGGCACTGTGGCAAAGTATTCCTAAGCCTGCTCCTGACTTCTCCCTCATGCTCTCCATATCGCATTGGAGGTGGTCCATTTGCTTCAATTCCTCTCCCTCTCTTCCTCCTTACACAACTCTAAATCTTAACTGTTTGCTTGTTTGTGAATGGAAGTTATTGTGGAAGGATAACAAGAGATCACAAAGTCCACAAGAAGCTTGTTAGGCACTTGGCACCTGGTATATTGAGGCTCTTCTTCAAGCTGATCAAGGTGGTAGGTAAGAAACCACATCTTTTAGGTTAAAACTTTACTTCTGGTTTTGTGCTTGTAGAGCACAGTAGCAGGACCCCAATTCTCCTCCTACCTGAGAGGTGCAAAAGTTAAATGAAACTTAATACTTCACCATGGGTGTTATAGACCTTTTATCCTAGGGCTATCCAGAAGCTAGAGACCCTTATGACAAGAAGGTGAAAAACAATGTTTAGAATGCTAGAAGGCATTACATAAATTACATTATTACAGAAGTTCCCTTCACAGTCCTTGATAAAGAGGGAGCACTCAAGTGAGTCCTCCTGGCCATTACAGGGTTAATGAAATCTGCAATTCAATACTAGCACATCTACCATGTTTTCCAGTCTTGTCTGTCTAATAAATCTGGTTTCATACCATGTCTTTTCCTTTTCCCACAAGCTTAATGAGTAACTAGTTTGCCTCTGGTAACACCGCAGTTTTTATTGCAGTTTGCAGGAAGAGTACTGAGTTCCTCCTCCTTCTTTTGTCCCTCTCTTCACATGTATATTAAATCCTTCATCTAATGAAAAATTGATCTTTTTACTCATTTGGTAAACAATGCAATATTTTACAGTTACAAGGCTTCATGCAGAGACTAAACTAGTCCTAAGTCTATAGTGGTATTTTTAGAGCATGTCCTTCATCATAATGTTAAATTTAATGGTATCTTGTGTAATCTATCATTATACTAGTGGGACAAGTTCTTACTGCACATTCATGTCACTCATCTTTTGTATTTATAAGCTTACAGCCTGGCCTAATTCTTCCTCTTTCAAATTTGTCACACTCCTAGGGTAAAGGTCTTTCCAGTGGCAAACACATTACTCAGAACATTCTGAATGACACACCTGTAACAAAGGACAAAACTGAATTTACTTTGCTGATAAGCAAGTGGAAGAGCCAGTTACTTTCCAAGATTAGGATCCAGTTATTCTTTGATCCTATTTCTCTCCTGCTCTCAATTATGCAGGAACCAAATACAGATTTTTATTCCACTTTCTACTTGCCAATAATTAAAAATAAGAAGAGCTATACTGAGAGAACATCTCTATTATACAATTCAGACACTAGGAGTTCAAGTGCTCAAAGACTAGATCTGAAAATACTATACCTTTGCCAAGCGAAGAATTTGCTGGGAGGTTAAGCACGGGGAGATTTCTACCCCTGACTGTTGTGAAGTTCAAACTTGAAATCTGTCCAGAGAGGATCTGTCCCCTTATCTCCTTCAACCAAAAATTCTTCTCAATTTGCAGAAAAGATGAATCAATTTGTTTTAAAGGACAAGGGATTTTCTACAGTAACTGTTTTTTTCAAAGTATTTTCACTTTCTAATAGATTTTCACTTGTAATCGATCAATTGTCAAAGACTCAATTTTTTCCACATAGTTCTGTCAGGCAACAGCAGTTGAAAAGCCTGGTACCTCCTCTATCAGCAGTGCAAGTGTCAGTTAGTCAAGAGCTAGAAACACATGGACACAGACCCATGAAATACAGCTAATAATTGTTTACACAGGACAGCAGACTCTTCCACCTGCTGCACTACCTCAAGGAAGTATGCTAAACTATTTGTCGTGTGGGTGGGGAAGATCTTTGCAGGTCTCAAGCAGGTCTGGAGCAACAGTCCCAGTCAGTTCAATTAATCACTCACCTCCACTGTGGATGATATAGAGCTAACCTTCTTCTCTTCCTCTGTTTACATTTCAGTGATCTAAGTGTCTAAGCCTATCTAACAAGTTTGAACATTTGAAGCTAAAGCTAAGCTCATGCACCTGCCAGCTGAGCTATCAGGTGTATCAGCAATGGGAGCGCCTGACAGGAGAACTTCACACATGAACAGGGGCTGCTCTGAACCCCACTAGCAATGGGCACCTTCTCCAGGTCAGACCTCCAGATGTAAAGGAGGTGTGTTAAAATAGAACTGCAGGCTATGTAGAGGCTTCTCACACTCTTATACACCACAAGAAAACCTCCTCTTGTTTTGAACCTCCTTTCATGTAGTGATTCTGTGATGAAGAACATCAACTCGTAAAGTCAGGTTTGCCTAGATATATGGACCATCATAAAAGCTGTGTTATGCAGTAGTGGGGAGGTCAGAGCTTCTGAACCTCAGACTCCTCAGCTCTACCTCCACCTCATGAGGATGTTGCAGTAGTAGCCCCCAACTTTGCATCAGTCCGGAGACAGATGTTTCCTTCCTACAGTGCCAGAGGATTTGTATGTAGGAGTAATACTTTGAAGTCATATACCTCTGAACTGTGGAACCCTTGTGTTAAAACCCAGAGGAGCAGCTACCTACCTGGAGGGAGATTGAAAAGCATTCCTAGACACCTGGGCTTTGCAAATTTGATTCCCAGAACTGATAAAATGTAAACAGAAAGCAGCTTGACTTTCAAAAGAGGAAAGCCACAGCACTTTCCCAATGACAGATGAGGCATCTGCAGTTTCTGTGGGTGGGGCAACAGAGCTAAAAGAAGTAATGGAGAGTGGGGCTTTGTATTCTAGTGCCATGTGTAACAGGCTGGAACATGCCCCAGTACTTATGTCCTCTCAAAACCAGACATTTGCTTGATGTTAATAAAAAAATATAGTTAGCAGATTGATCATTAGACAAATTAGTAATTGCCACCTGCCTTATTTTAGATGGACCTTTAAAACTTCAGAGACAAAACAATGGTTGCTGAGGGAAGGAAATAGAGAAATTCAGAGCACTGTTGGAGGATTTTTATCATGCAAAATGTGTTTCTGAAGCCCTCTGAGGCTCAGATGTTCTTGTTTCCATAAAATAAAGTAAATATTACAGCAGTTTGGCAGCCATTTCTCTCAGCCATCAGCTTAAAACGAAAGAACTGGAATCAAATACAGAAAGTTTTCTTCTTTTTACCTTTTTTTTTTCTTTTTTTGTCTTTCTAAACTTGATCTATTGCTATGATTTGTAGTGATTTCTTTGAGACTGTTTAGCAGCTTTTATAAAAATAAAATGTACTTGTGCTGAGGCCATACTTACCATTGGCAATCTGCATCCAGGAATGCTGGGGAAGTCATGATGCTCCATGTGGTAGCCTACGTTAAAGGTGAGCCAGTTCAGAGGTCCATAATAAGAGTATGTCTCATACCCTTTCAAGAACATGTAGTGTTCCGCTATGAAGTGCCCAGAAATGGGATGTACACCCATGCAAAGAATTGTACCTGCTATTAAGTAAATGATAGGTTTGAGCCCCCAAAAGTAGTAAATTATAAGGTCTACAGAAAACTGGATGAGCGCGTTAAATATTTCCATCCGTGTAATTGCTTTGGGGTTCACATATAGAGGTCTCAGGCTGTAGAACAGAGGTTGGAGGAAAAGCCAAAGTAGTTTTCGAAGAGGCGTACAGAAGAACCATCCTTCAAAGTCTGTGGGAATGTCCACATCCAAGTTGTCCCCACCTAGGTACCGATGGTGGTCAATGTGATATTTCTTGAAGGAGGCAGAATAAGGGATGCCAATTGGCAAGTTGGCAAAGATTGCAAACCATCGGTTCCACTTGGCCTGCTTGTTCCCAAAGGCAACGTTGTGTGAGATGTCATGGATGGCTAGGGTCAGCGAATGGTTGATGCAGCCCCCAAAAGCATAAGCCCAGAAGAAAATCCATTTCCAGGATAAGTCTTTCACCAGGTAGCATGCTAGAAACTGTGTGAAAACCATCCCAGATACAATCCACTTTAAATGTGGATCTGGTCCCATCAGAGTCTTGATCTCTGGATACTTTGCTAAAGTGAAGAATGCAGAGAAATATCTCATTAGATCACAGTTAGGTAAACGTAATCACCACTGGGACTCTATTTTTATCACCCTGTGTTTGAGGCCCTGGTTCTATAAAATTGCAATCCCAAGTAGGGTTTCCACTACAGTGAAAGTTTTACTAACCTATGAGCTCCATCCCCACTTCCAGCATCATGTCCAGTTGTGATTGATATTGATATATAGAAATATATATAGACATATAAAAAAAAATAATTACCCTGATGCTCAACATGTGGCATCATGTACCTTCACAATGATGAGTATTGCTTCAAAAGGATGAGTATTAGTATGAAAAATCCCACCAGATTTAAGCTCTAAGAAGCACCTTCTGTCAAGTTTTTCACTTCCTTTTTTATTTTGCCCAGTCCAGATATTATGTTTCCACAAAACGGACACAACTGCCTTCTCTGTAGCAATTTTCACACTTGTTTCAGACATAGTAGCAGAGGAGAGAGGGCTGAGCAACAGGCTTACCAGGTTTTGCTTTGTGGTTAGATGACAAATACAACATTAAAAAAAATAAATCCCTAAGTATTTGAGCGTTCACGAGCGCTTACAATACATACAACTCTGCACATGGTAATATCACAAGAAATTCATGAATATTATCAGGAATTTTTAAGATACACAAAATTTTTCTCTGTTCCCATTCACTAGCCTGTTCCCAAGTCACATATCAAAACCAGGCATGAAAGTTGCATAGATAATCACACAACAGCTTCATGCAGCCTTGCAAATACTGCAGTGCAGCATCAGAGACATGGGCTAGGCTTGCAGCTCTGACTCACGTCAGGCCATGACCAGCTTTACTGATCTTGGTTTCTACTGGTGACTCACTTGTCCTTTTAAGAAAAAGAAAATACATAGAAGTACAGATTATCCCCTAAGTGCTGTTCATTCAGGTTTCTTCTTTACAAATTCACACTCCTCACCTCCAGTATTAACTTACATATGAATTCTTCCACTGTTTTATGGCTTTTACCCATACTCTGCATTTCCTTGTTCCTTCAACTTGTACTATGCATTTCTCAATAATTACAACTTCGACAGGTAAAGCTGTAGGAGGAGTCACTCACCCTGAACCCTAAGGTTACATCCCTGTAAGATTGTTAGGCCCATTTTATGAATAGAAAGGTAAATATCATCTGACTGTCACCATATAATACCAAACCAATAAAATCAGATTGTAATGATTTGCAACCATGTAGCTGTATATAGCATAAACAAATTCTGGAAACAACACACATAACTTCATATGACCTTGCAAGCAGTAGCAGGTACTGAGTGCAGGATGCAGAGAAGGTTTTGTTATAAAAGTGAACCCTGAGAAGTTTGCAGAAGTTCAGAGAAATGAAGCACTAAGGAGGCAGATCGATGTGGTCATGCTCTGCAAGCAGTCCAACAACTTTTGAGCCTGTTGGCTGACTTCTGCCCAGCTTGACAGAGATTAGGGACAAGTGCTGTGGAAGATAATGAGAAAAGAGATATTCTCAATTCTTCCTCTTGTGAGGACAAGGGGGCAAAAATCACCACGAGGAGTATCTAAGCAAGAGAGAGATTTTTCAAGTGGTGGGAAAGCACCAGTAAAAGTTCACATCTTTCTAAAGCTAGCCAAACTTTTTGATAAAAATCTCTGGAAATCTCAGAATTTTTTGGTTTGATGTTTTGGTTTTGCCCTTGTTTTCACAGAATCATAGAATGAATCACAGAATGAATCCTAGAATGGCCTAGGCTGGAAGGGACCTTAGAGATCATCTAGTCCAACCTCTCTGTCATGGGCAGGGACGCCTCTCAACTAGATCAGGCACTCAAGGTTCCGTCCAACTTGGCCTTGAACACCTCCAGGGAGGGGGCAGCCACAACATCTCTGGGCAATTTATTCCAAAGTCTTGCCACCCTCGTACTGAAGAACTTCTTCCTAATATCCAGTCTAAATCTATTCTCCTTCAACTTAAACCCATTTCCCCTTGTCCTATCGCTGGACATTCTTGTAAAAAGTCCTTCCCTAGTTCTCCTGTATGTTCCCTTCAGGTATTGGAAGGCAGCTATTAGGTTTGGATGCTAGAAATGCTAACATGCTAGAAATTGTTCTCTGGTACCTGGAGAAGTGCTGGGATATCCACTTTAAAGAATAACTTGAAATAACGACCTGATCAGAAAATCTGTAACAGAAATATGGTTTGTTGTAGCTTAATGTCCTTCTTCAGGGCATCTGTCTAAATCCCAGAAAACCCTTTAATGAATCAAGCCACCTCAAATTTTCAGCCACGTAGCTGGTAGAGGTAAGTTAGCGCAGGCATCAGAACAGATGAAATGCTCCTCTGTTCCTCAGCCTAGTCACTTTGTCCAAAACAAAAAAAAAAGTTTTAATGGGATGGGAAAATTACCAAGAGATGCTTTATATTGCAGTTTGAGAAAATAAAATTTTAAAACTTTTGTGTGTGTGTGTGTGGAAACTAACAAGGATTGCAGATTACATCTAAGAGGTTTCAGAGTAGTAACTGCCAACAGGCAGCAACAGTTCCTGCAAGCAGCAATGCAGGTGGGTTGCACTGATCACAGGTGATGGCTATTAAGTAACTTGCTAGAGTTTAATATTGAATTCAACATATGATTAACTCCAACAGTAAATTTCTGCATACTGGTTAAACCACAATACTGTGTCTGTTAATACTGATAAACTCTTCCCATTCACATGGCAAGGAGAAACCTCAGGGAGGCTGAGAAGTGGGGCTGTTGGGCTCACTGGAGGCTAAAAGCCCTGCTAGAGCAGTAGCCTATCAGACACCTTTTGGTTTAGGAGTACTCCACCTGCAAAATGTTGAATGCTTGTTGACCCTTTCACAACCTGAGGCCATATGCTCTTCAGTGAGATGCATTTAATCTCAGATTAAGCGATCCTGATGACTGCAGTTTATACATCCCTAAAGTGCTGACACAAAGATGTGACAATATAAATACCTGTCTCATTTTTAACTCCTGTTCATGCCTTGCAGTTAGCCGAAGGCATGCTAGTAAGGAAAGATAGAGCACTTATAGCTGAAAAACCTGGACAACGCTGTAAGGCTGCTGTGACAAGTGTCTGTAGGTGTAGCACAAACCAGACACCAGCCATCTGCATGTACCAAAGGCAACAGAGAATCAGAGACAAGGCTACTGGGCGGTGTTGAACCAGGAGCCTTAAAGGACTATCAGATCTGTGGCAGCCACGCGGTAAAGACTACCTTCATTTCCTACACATTGCCCTTTGAGAAGTAAACAGACACCTACTCTCCATGCTTGAGACTGATAGAGTTTCACACTACGAGGCATCTGAGCAGAGATTTTCATCGTGCTGCTCGTTCCTGAATTGTTTCCGTTTTGCTTTCCTGAGCACTTTTTCATTATAAGAATGGTAAGCTTCTACATGGCCAGAGTCTGTTGCTTCCCAACAAGCACTGGGTCAGGGCTAATACATGACCAGGGGCATAAAATGTAATCTATAGTGAACTATTCATTATGCACAATCACAGCATGGAGAGGCAGAGGAACAAGAGAAAACACACCACATTATTCAGCCATTATAGATAAGAGAGTGAGAGACCCAGAGAGTTGTGTGACCATATGGGACCAGGATTTGCCCTTTAAAATCCAACAGGACTGGGACAACTCTAGCTACTCTGATGTCTTCACAGCACATTCTCCAGCCTACAGCTTACTGAGATAGCCTGTTAGGTCAGCCAGGCAGACAGTTTATCCAAATGCTCTGCTTCTTGTTGTCCAGACTGAGCCACTGTACTGTCATTCCAAGGGTAGGGATACTGGTGTAGATGTACAGCAGCACAGGAGTGTGACTCTTCAGCCTCCGAGGTCAGCACACTGCACAAGCAGTGCAGTACAGTGAGTAGGTATAGTTAATAATTCCACCCAATCAACTTTATGGTCTCTGTACCACAACCTCAGAGCAGCTGAAATCTGCACCATAATGATGAGAGACATCTTCTCCCACTTGTAAAACAATGTGGATGAAAGAACAACAGTCAAGAGACAACAAATGCTGCAAGTGTATTTTCAGAGGCATTCACAATTCTGAAACAACCCATTTACAGGTTCACGGAGGTCACTCTGCTGTTGTGTGTAAGCAGCATCAGTCACCTCTAGAAGTATGCCTCACTCTGAAATACTCCTGACAAATTAACTACACATTTTTTTCATTGATGCTTGTCTCTGGAGATACAGAAGCATGCACCATAGCTCTGCAGTGATCCTCTGTAAGGGCTGGAGTAATAGATCCTGGAGGAGTCATCAGTCACTAGGTCAAGGTGTTCCTTCTTCTCAGCAGACAACAAATGTCTTGCTCTGAACTCTCATGCATCCTCTATTCCCTCTGTTCACTGACAACGTTCCTGAGGAGACTCAGTAGAGCCCCAGACAGACCTCAGTGAGGGACCAAACACAATCTCTCAGGGATGTGACACCACATACTTGGCACTTGCACATTTTTCATACATGGGATTTGGATGTGGGTAAGAGCAGGAGCTAGCCATACAGAGGTGATGGAGACTTTAAGGAGCAACAACTCTGCCCACATCCATGAGAAGACAGTCGTAACAAGAGAAGAAATTTAATTTCTTTGTCTTTCTTTGGTTTGACCACAAGCACAGCGTATATGCACAGCCAAAGTGGAGATACCACTCAGTATGAGACTTTCAGAAAGCCTGTTAAAAAGAAGGAGAAAAAAACGTAACATCTGTGATGATGCTGTCCTGGACTACATTCTGTCAACCATGAGTCCCTGCCAGAACAAATAAGAGACACCAGGCACAGGATGTTAGCTTTACTAGCCCATGCCCTAAGCTGAAGCTAGTATTTTTAATTAGGGGGGGGAAGTCAGTTTGCTGACATGACAGTGTCTTGCCTTTTAGCAGCTTAGCTCATGAACGTGCTCACAAACGGCACAGCACACTTGAGTCCTCAGCACAGGAGAGACATGGACCTGTTGGAGTGGGTCCAGAGGAGGGCCACAAAAATGAGGACAGGTTGGCAGAGTTCATGTTGTTCAGCCTGGAGAAGAGAAGGCATCAGGGAGACCTTATTACAGCCTTTCAATACTTAAAAAAGGCTTATAAGGAAGATGGGGACAATTTTTTTGTTTAGCAGGGTCTGTTGCAGTAGGACAAGGGATAATGGTTTTACACTAAAATAGGGTAGGTTTAGACTGAATATAAGGAAGATACTTTTTATGATTAATGTGGTGAAATACTGGAACATGCTGCCCAGAGAGGTAGTAGGTGCCCCATCCAATTCCTGGAAACATTCAAGGTCAGGTTGGATGGGGCTCTGAGCAACCTGATCTAGTTCAAGATGTCCCTGTTTGTTGCAGGGGGGTTGGACTAGGTGACCTCTAAAGGTCCCTTCCAACTCAAACTATTCTATGATTAATTGAAACCGTACATGAGCCAGGACACAGGCTGGACACACTGAGGACAATGCACATGACAAAAGCTTCTGGCTTTACACAGTCTCCTGCCCCCTCTAGTATACAAACTAATAAGAAACCTTTTAAGCCCAGCTAACTACACTGAAATTTTACATATCCACTGTGCAAGGACAGGGGTCTTAAACTTGTATTTGCCACCCACAAGCTCCTAAACGTCTTCGTGTTGGTCCAAGGGAGTTGGGTCACCCAGAAGTGGCCACCAGAGGCAAAGAACTGCAGTGGTGCCACAATGCTGGTGTCAACAGAGATGGATGGTGTCAGCACATCACTATGAGAGCAGCTATAACCTGTTTGTTTTATGCT